CAGGCCGCCGGGCGGGGCGGTGGCGCGGGGAGTGCGCTCTCAGCCGCGCTCCTCGTGTGGCGGTTCAGCCTCTCTCGTTTTTTTTTTCTCAGTCAACCCGAGCGGGCGCGCCAACGCATTCTTAGGTCCCCTGCAGCCCGGACAGCGTGGGCCGGGGCGAGGACCTTGCCAAGCCCCGACCTGACCGGCGAGCCCCGCTAGCCGACACCACTTTTCCTTTTCCAAACGTGAAAAGATTTGGGAGAAACTTAAATGGTTTTTAAAAAATTATTACACATCTTTTTTTTTCTTTTATTTTATTGCAATCCGTTGCTTTTTGTAAATATCTTGCCCATTGTCAGGAAGGGCCCCAAAGCCTGCATCCGCCTTTGCCGCTGGCGGGAGGACCTGCACACCTGGCCGGAGAGCTACTCAAGCGGCCTTCTTCCCGAGTCGCTGTCCCAGGGACCGCAGAAATCTGAACGCCAATCCCACACTACTCTCCTCACCGAGCAGCCTCCAAAAACCAAGCAAGGACCACAATCTACAGAGATCCAGTAATCTGTGACATGAGGGAGACGCGCCGGCCAGGTTCATCACGCAGCCTCCTTCCGGCTTCGTAGGAAAACCGAAAACCTGTAGGTCGGTCAGTGGCCATGGCCTTTGACTCCTTTCCACACCTCCTACCCGCCCAATGTCTTTGGTCAGTAACGGGGGCTCATGTCAGCCACTGGACGTGATACTCCCTTATAATTACTCTAGCAACTTATACAGCATATAATCGCACGGTGCTAGCTTGGGAAAAGGTTATAATGAAACATTAAAAGGGGCTAATATTTGTAAAGCACAGTGAACAGTGCTTGGCATCATAATAACCGACTATGCCTTGTTTTAAAACTATACATTCCAGTTTCAATTATAGAGTGGTAAAATTTTGCTCCAAAATTACACTAAGGAGATCTACGTGCTGGGGCTTTTTCTAAATCTCACACAACCTTCTTTACCTTCTGGCACTGCCAGCAAAGGATGTTCCCCTTCTCAACCAGTGTGACTCAAGGACCAACTACTTTGACTTTAACACCAGATCTGGATTTCAATCTGAACTCTGCCACCTTGTTTACCGTGTGGTCGTCTGCAAGCTATTTCACCTGTGCTTGGAGCTCATAAACCTTATATTCTTATCAGAAATATGTTTGAAATACGATTGTGAGTTTTAATAAAAAACTTTTGGCAATAGATAAAATTTAGTAGATTGTGGAGTTACTTTGTTTGGGCAACAGAGGGAGGGAACATAGAATTAATAGTTGTAAATTCTGAGAGCAAGTGTTCCAGGCTTTGATGGGAGTGTAAGTGGAACTTAACCAAAAGGACTTTTAGCACTGTGCTCAGGTTAGCAATCCACCCAACAGGCTTCATCTTCAGAAAGATAATAGAAGACCCTCATTGACAAGGCCCATAAGCAAGCAACTTCCCAGCAAAAAAGATTCAGTGTGAACTAGGGAAAAAATAATTATGCTCAAGGGCTCTGCAAAAAGCTAGAAAAAAAAAGATGGGGAAAAAACCTGGCTGTATATTTTAAGTAAAGCTATATTTTAGCCAGGTTAGGATTCATGTTGCAGGTCCAGCAGAACCATGAGTGATAGGTAACCTTGATTAGAATCAAAGAGCAATTGAGCCCAGATTCCAAAGAAGGTTAAGGAATGGAGTTGCTAGAATTTAGGCCCAAGAGAGTACCATCTAAAGTTAAAGTTGACAGACCAAGTCACAGCCTAGTACCATTAGGCACCATGTATGTATAGAAAGTACACAGAATCAGTCAGATGTGGTTTTGAACTCTATTTCCTGCCATCTGCTGGCCTACGGGAATTGTGCTTGTCCTCTCTTAGCCTCAGCTAGAAAGGATTTTACTACCTGCTAGATAGGTATGAACTTCATGGTAAGAATGAAAAAATATATATTCAATAAACATAAAGCTGGGAAATGTACATAAGGCAATCACAGAAACTAAATCAAAATGGATCAAAGCCTTAAACATAGACCTGCCCTGGCAGGGTGGCTCAGTTGGTTGGAGTGTCATCTTATGCACCAAAAAAGTTTTGGGTTCAGTTCCCCAGTCAGGGCACGTACCTAGGTTGCCGGTTCGATCCCCTGTCAGGGTGAGTACAGGAGGAAGCCAATCGATGTTTCTCTCTCTCACACTCCCTCTCTCTCTAAAAATCAGTAAAAACATATCCTTGGGTGAGGCTTAAAAAACAAACAAGACAAACAAACAACCCGTAGACCTGATACTATAAAACTCCTAAAAGAAAACATAGAGAAAAAGTTCCTCAGCATTGGTCTTGGCGATGAGGTATTTATTTTATCTTTATTGTTGAAAGTATTATAGGTATCTCCTTTTTCCTCCCATTAACCTCCTACACCCCACTGCCGCCCCCCATCAGGCCTACTGCACAATTGTCTGTGTCCAAGGGTCATGCATATATGCATGTAAGTTACTTGGTTAATCTCTTCCTGCCACCCTTCCCCTCTTCTCTCTGAAATTCATCAGCCTGTTGCATGCTTCCATGTCTCTGGATCTATTTTGTTCATCAGTTTATTTTCTTCATTATATTCCACATATAAGTGAGATCAGGTGGTACTTGTCTTCCTCTGACTGGTTTATTTCATTTAGGATGATACTCTTCAAGTCCATCCATGCTGTCTCAAAGGGTAAGTGATCCTTTTTTACAGCTGCATAGTATTCCATGGGATAATGTCCCACAGCTTTTTTATCCATTCATCTACTGATGGGCACTTGGGCTGTTTCCAGTTCTTAGCTATTGTAAATATATCTGCTATGAACATAGGGGTGCATAAGTTCTGATTGGTGTTTTGGGTTTCTTTTTTTCTTTTTTTTTAAATATATCTTTATTGATTTCAGAGAGAGGAAAGGAGAGGGATAGAGAGATAGAAACATCAATGAGGAGAGAGTCATTGATCGGCTGCAGCCTGCACCCCGGGCATGTGCCCTGACCAGGAATCGAACCCCGATCACCTGGATCGTAGGTCAACGCTCAACTGCTGAGCCACACCCGGCCGGGCAGGTTTCTTAAGGTATATTCCTAGAAGTGAGATCACTGGATCAAATGGCAGTTCCATTTCTAATTTTTTGAGGAACCTCCATACTATTTTCCGTAGTGGCTGGACCAGTCTGCATTCCCACCAGCAGTGTACTAGGGTTCCCCTTTCTCCACATCCTCGCCAGCACTTGTCATTTATTGATTTGTTGATGGTAGCCATTCTGGCAGGTATGAGCTGATACCTCATTGTGGTTTCAATTTGCATCTCTCTGATGGTTAGTGACTGAGCATTTTTTCATGCCTGTATTGGCCATCTGTATGTCCTCTTTGGAGAAGTGTCTATTTAGGTCCTTTGCCCATTTTTTAATTGGAGTGTCTTTCTTAAGTTGTATGAGGGAAATGAGTTTTTGATGTTACACAAAATCACAAACAACAGAAGAAAAAATTAACAAATGGGACTTAAAATTTGCATAGCAGAAGAAACAATTAACAAAATGATAGGCAACCATAGAATGGGAGAAAAATTTGCAAAACATATATCCGATAAGGGGTTAATATCCAAATATATAAAGAATAAATTTTTCAGTAACAGAAACAAATAAGCAATCCAATTAAAAATGGGCAGAACTAAATAGACATTTTTTCCAAAGAAGACATCCAAATGGCCACCAGGTACATGAAAAGATGCTCAACATCACAATCATCAGGAAAATGCAAATCAAAACAACAATGAGGTACTACCTCACACCTGCTAGAATGACTATTATCAAAATGACAAGAGAAAACAAGTGTTGGCAAGGATGTGGAGAAAAGGGAAACCCTTGTGCACTGTTGGTGAGATTGTAAATTGGTGCATACACTATGGAAAACAGCAGAAGGTTACCTGAGAACTTAAAAGTAGAACTACCATAGATCCAGCAATTCCACTTCTGGGTATTTATATGAAGAAAAGGAAAACACTGACTGGAAATGTTCACTGCAGCATTACTCATAGTAGCCAAGATATGGAAACAACGTAAGTCCAACCAATAGATGACTGGATAAAGAGCATGCGCTATGTACAGTCGGCCCTCTGTATTCATGGGCTCAGCATCCAAGGATTCAACCAACTAGGAATCAAAAATATTTTTTTTAAAAGTTATATTATTGCTGATGTGTAGTATGTAGTCAGGCCTATGAAGGCTGCGTCTGTGCTGAACATCACAGACCTAATTTTCTTCTCATTATTCCCTAAACAACCCAGTATAATGTTATTTATGCAGCACATGCATTGTATTAGGTACTATAAGTAATCTAGAGAAGATTTAAAATATAGGGAAGATGTACATAGGTTTTACGTAAATACTATGCCATTTTATAATAAGGAACTTGAGCATCCTCAGATTTTGTTATCTGAGGGTAGGGTAGGACCTGGAACTAATCCCCTTCAGATACAGAGGGATGACTGTGTATACAATAGAATATTACTCAGCCATAGGAAAGGAGTATATATTGCCATTTGAGACAACATGGATGAGCTTTGAGCACATTATGCTAAGTGAGATAAGTCAAACACAGAGTGACAAGTACTCTGTGACATCACTTATATGTGAAATTTTAAAAGACCAAACTCATAAAAACAAAGAATAAAATGGTGGTAACCAGAAGATAGGGGGTGGGAGACAGGACAGGTGTTGTTAAAGGATACAAACTTACAATGGGTAGTAAATAAACCTTAGAGATCTAATGCACAGTACAGTGAATATAGACAATAATAGTGTATTGCAAGCATCAAGCTTGTTAACAGACTGGAACTTAATTTTTCTTCTAACTACTAAAAAGAAAAGATAATTATGTAACATAATAGAGGTGCTAATTATCACTACAATGGCAATCATATAACATATAAATGTATCAAATTACATGTATGTCTTAAATTTACACAATGTTATATGTCAAATATATTTCAATAAAAAAGATGTACAGATGGAAAATACACATATGAGAAAATATTTAACATCTTTTGTTCTTGGGAAATTGAAAATTAAAACAACAATGAGATACCACTGTACACCTAGTCAATAGCTGAAATCCAAAACATTGTCACTGCTACATGCTGGTAGGGATGTGGAGCAATAGGAACATTTATTCATTGCTGGTGGGAATGCAAAATGGTCCAGCAACTTTGGACAACAGTTTGGCACTTTCTTAGAAACTAAACAGTCTAACCATATCCATTCAGCAATCATGCTTCTTGGTATTTATCCAAATGAGTTGTGTCCAGACAAAAACTTTCACATGAACATTTATAGCAGCTTTATTCATAATTACCAAATTACAAGCAACCAAGATGCTTTTCAATAGGTGAAGAGATAAACTGTGGCACATCCAGACTATGGAATATTATTTATCGGTAAAAAGAAATGAGCTATCAAGCCATGAAAAGACTTGGAGGGACCATAAATGCAAACTGCCATATGACATTCTGAAAAGACAAAATTATGGGACAGGAAAAAAAT